ATGAATAGCATTGCTATAAACATTAATATGCATTCACATATGTATTAATGTACTCTTTTGCATAATGATATGCTAAAATATTAATGTACACATATCTATGATTTTTAGTATCTCCTGAGTGTACACCTTGGGGTAGGGTTGCTGGGTCTTGTGATAGCTCCATTTTTAACCTTTAAAGTACTGCCTAACTCTTTCCAAAGAATCCACACTCGTTTCCATTCCCATTAATAGTGTGGGAGGATTCTAATCATTCCACAGTCTTGTCCTCACTTTTCATTGTTTGCCTTTTATTATATCCATTTTAGTGAGTGTGTAGTGATGCCTCATTTTCATTTGAAATTCATTTTTCTGATGTTTAATGAAATTAACAGTCTTTTCATGCACCACCCCCCACGGTCATTTTTATATGTTCTGTGACCAAAGTTCTATTGTGATTTTTTGTAATATTTTTATTTATATATATTTTTGGTATTGAGATGGCAATAATTTCCACATCTTTCTACATCCTTGTATTGATAACATATATGACTTGACGATTCTCTGCCCTTCCCCCCCACCGAATTCTTTCTATTATCTTCCCATTTTCTTGCTGGTGTCCTTGGAAGCACAAACGCTTTCAGTTTTGATGTTTTTTGTCTTTCTTTCTTTCTATTGTTGCTTGAGATTTTGATGTCATATCTAAGAAACTATTGTTTTATCTAAAGTCACTAAGCTTTACTCCTATGCTGTGATCTACACACTACCAGTGAGTGGATTCTGACTCACAGTGACCCTGTAGGACAGGGAGCACGGCCCCGATGAGTTTCTGAGACTGACTCTTGTCGGGAAAAGAAAGCCTCCTCCTCATTCTGCCTTGGGATGGCTGGTGGCTTTGACTGCTGACCTTAATAGTTAGCAGCCCAGCTTGCTACCAGCTTATTTTCTACCAAGGCTCCTTCTAAGACACCTGTAATTTAATTTTACATTTACAACCCAGAAATAGTTTGTTTTCATTTTTGTGGATGGTGGGTGCTGTGATCTAGTTTCTCTTTTGACATATAGATATTTTGTTGTCTCAGCATTGTTTGTGGAAGAAATTGTTCTTTCCCTATTAAATTTGTCACCCTTGCTGAAAATGACTTCAAAGCAAATATGAAGGTTAATGTCTGGGCTATTAAGTTTATTCCGTTGATCTGTACTTTTGTGCTTATGCCAACACCACAATATCTTGATTCTTATAAATTGGCAGCAAGTTTTAAAACTGGAAATATGAGTTCACCAATTTTATTCTTGTTTTCAAGGATGTTTTGGTTGTTTTGCCTATCTGAATTTATGGGGATTTGAGGATGAGCTTGTGAAATTATGAAAGTAGCCTCC